TCACAGAACCAGCCTCCTCCATGTGGCTTCTCAGCAGCAGACCCTGAAGACGTCGGGAGTTAGCGCACAGTGCAGGTAAGACTGGGATGTAAGGGCTACTGGCAAAGGTATGGGGAGCTTCTAGACCGTGCAGACAGCTAAGTCCAGAACTGTGGCTACTGCTTCATTTGAATTAGAAGGGACATATCTGTCTTAAAGTATTTTTGGTATAAATGAATCTTTTCTGGAAAGCTGGCTTTACATTTTGAAAAAAAAAGGGCAAACTTCCTTTTAGCAAGCAGCTCATAGACTGGACATTTCTAGGTTCTGTTCTCCATGTGAAGTGTTCTGGAAATGGGAGCGTTTGTCCTAAAGGTTCCAGTTCCCATTGGTGCCCCAGGCTTGGAGGGAAGGCCACAGTATTTCCTGTACTGCTCTTGTCACCACACCTCTGAACTAAGTGCTCCCTGATTCTCCACCACACCGAGGGAGCCTGCCATACAAACTACTATGCCTGTGGCTGGAGAGGAAACCCACGCTCAAGAGAGAGCGCCAGTGCAGTGTACCTGGAGCAGGAAGGAACCTTCACTGTAGAGAACATGTTTTAAACAGAATTCTCTATGCACAAGGATGTGAAGTCAGCTTCTGCAGGAAGTAAGCGTTGCACTAACTAGATGCAGTGTCTTAGTATTTACTTGCTAGCTTGCCTGTCTGCAATTTACTGCTGCCAGGACTTGTCACTTATGCTAACAACTGCTTGCAGGTCTGCATGACACTGACATTTAGGAAACATTGATGGAATGAGAAGGGCTATGATGGAAAAGCTGGATAGAATGATCATATTAAAACTTTCCATCAAAGCAAACATGAAAGCAAACATCAAAGTGATCTTAGGGAGTGTTAACAGTGACCTCAACTGCTGAAAAACTCCGGGGCCGGAAAGACTCTGTGAAACAGTCTCGGTGATTGACACCTGAACTTAGCAGCTAGTGTAAAACTGTACACACACATGCCTGGACTCAGTAGCTAGTGTAAAACTGTACACACACATGCCTGGACTCAGCAGCTAGTGTAAAACTGTACACACACATGCCTGGACTCAGCAGCTAGTGTAAAACTGTACACACATGTGCTTTTCCCTGCTCCCCCCTTAAGTTTTTAACTTTCTGCTGGTTAGAGCTGGGAAATCAGACAAACAAAAGGATCAAACTGCCTAGCAGCACATACGTCCTAAGATCACTGAGGTTTGTACACACACTGACTCATAAGAAGGTAAAATACCAGACTCCTAAAATCATGGGATTGACAAAACCAGAATTCAGTCCAGGCAGAGGAAGCTCTGATGACCTAGAGACTCGCTTACAGCCACGGCAGGTCTGTGGTTTCCACACAGGCCTGGGTTAGCATCACCTAAGGTATTTAACAAGAGCCACCCATCAGCCTCTCAGTGAGAAGAGTCAGTCACCATGCTATCCACACCCTGCAGGCCGTTGTTTCCCTGGTGAGGAAAGACTGTAGGCAGCACTGCAGTAGCAAACACATGGCGACAGGAAGGACCAGGCTGACAGGAGAGAGGAGGAGAGCTGCAGCTGGCAGCCCCGCAGAAGACTGGCGTGGGTGCTTCCCCTGAGCTCACCGACTGGGCAGAGTAATGAACCTAAGATTACAGCTGAGGCTTCCTTCAGCTCTGGACTCTAAGGAAATGAAGTCAGCCCGCAGAAGGATAAGGAAAATCCTACAGTCCCACTTTCTGTAAGGATGCTCAAATCCAGAGAAGTAACACGAAACCAAGAACCACCTCCAGCTATTGGAAGAGTGCGTGCATGTAAGAATCCTAAGTCAATGCAGCATATCATTAACAATTATTTCAGAAAGACAAAAACTAAGCCAATACTGCAGCACTCCCGAGACATTGCACTGTCCTCCAAGCAGCACACACCATCAGATGCGGTCACATGGTGAATAGGAATATGAACACGGAAGTAGGAAGCTGTTCCGTGTCTTAAAGCCAGCTACAAAGTAAAACAAGGGGTGGGCTGTTATTTTACCTACAGCCAACAATGTGGCTATTTCTGGCATGGACTTTCAAGATCTTCTGTTCCTGCATCTGAATCACGCAGGGGAGCCAGTTTCGTGGCTGAACACTTCTGGATTGTTAAGTGGGAAGGACTTTGGTTGCAAATAGAAAGGATCTTACATTCTCATAAGCTAGTGCCAGGGACATGATGGTAATAAATGCTAGCCTAGGTAAGGACTGTGCAGGACCCTAAAGTCCCTCAGTTTCTCCTTCTCCTTCAACAAGATCCTCGGGCACACATGGTGTGTGCTGAGTGAAGATTTAATCCAAACCATTTCTCAGTTCTTAACTTTGCTTATATCTATAAATTATTTAGAGGAGGTAGATTTAAGCTTTTAATTGCTTATGGTTTATTTTCATTAAAAACAAAGTTATTTAAAATGATCTACAATGCTAATAAAATTCTGTATCAGATACTACAGCCACAATTTGAAGTGTCTAAACTGCCTAACAAGGTATATAAAATGTCATTTCATAGACATTTTCAGAATACTTAGGGTCTTATGTGGATAACTACACGTATGCTCCAAATTCAGTACTGCTTGTGACGCTCACTCAGTAGAATGCTATTCTGTAGGCCCACTTAGGAACCTTTCTCTGAGATGGCGGCATCCTCATCTGCTCTCTGTGTGTGCACCTATGTGCATGTGTGCGTGTGTGTATATGTATGCAGCATGGAGACACGGGTGCTATTCAGGTATGTTCTGGCTCCTGTGTGAAGCCTTTTGTTTACTTATTCTCCTCTTCCTCCAATTCTATTCTGCTTCTTTCCCTAGCTTTTGTTGTTTGGTTCTCAACTCCACAGCATAGCTCCCGATCTGACCATGCACCACAATTAACCACTGGGATCTTCTAGGAGAACAGAAGTTAAGTATAACATCATGGCCTCAGCGGGTCTCCAGCTCCTTGCTTTCATCCTGGCCTTATCTGGGGTCTCTGGAGTCCTCACTGCCACTATGCTGCCCAACTGGAAGGTCAGTGCAGAGACAGGCTCCAACATTGTAACTGCTGTCGTGCAGGCGCACGGGCTGTGGATGGACTGCACCTGGTACAGCACTGGGATGTTCAGCTGTACCCTGAAGTACTCCATCCTGTCTCTACCCATCCACGTGCAGACGGCCAGGGCCACCATGGTCCTGGCCTGCATTCTGTCTGCTTTGGGGATCTGCACTTCTGTAGTAGGGATGAAATGCACTCACTTAGGTGGGGACACATACACCAAGAGCCAGATCTCCTTGGCTGGAGGGGTCTGCTTCATCGTTGCAGGGATCGCTGGCTTAATCCCAACAGTGTGGTACACCAAGGATATCGTAGAAAACTTTCTAGATGTGACCATTCCGAAAAGCCACAAATATGAGCCTGGAGGAGCTGTCTACATCGGGTTCGTTTCCGCGATGCTACTACTGATCTCTGGTATTATTTTCTGCACTTCTTATATAAGAAAGAACCCGAAACCACGGATCTACCCTCCCAGGCTGCAACAGACCTCTACCTGGCAGCCAGAGAACAGGTTAGCATATAACCTGAAGGATTACGTGTAAGAGCTGTGCTGTGAACGTGCAGTGAGGCCTCTGGGAGCCTGCAAAACCTTATTAGAATGAAGAAAACGAGACAAAACACTCTCACGTTTAACCTTCTTTACAAAGAGGACAAAATATAAAAAATTATGAGGTACTTTAAAATGACAACAAACTACCATATACAATTACATCTGTCTTGAATTTATTTTCCTATTATTGCATTCATGTTTTATTTAAAATTATATAATTGAAAGAGGCCCGACCATATTAATATGGCAATGGGTGACAGCATTAATTTATTTTTAAAGATATATTTTAGATTAGTTTTTTGTAATTATAAAGTATAAAAAGTACCTTCCCTTAGTGTTGATCAAGGATATCTCCTATTCTGCCCTCTGGTGGACAATGCTTGAGTAGCTGATTTCTGTTTTAAAGCCACAGGATGTGGAGGAGACTCCAGAACAGAGGACCAGAACTCATGTACATGTTGCCCAAGCCATCAGCCCCAAGCCCCAGCTTCCATTCTAATTTACCATGTGTTATGATATAATGTATGCAAACTAAAATTAGATAGGATTCGTGAACTGGTAGATTCTACTGCAGCACACGAAAGCCAATATAAGCACAAACTAAAATCTGGCTCTTTTTAAGTACAAGCTAATAAGACCTCTGCTTGCTTTAAATACCCAGGGGCTGCTGACTTCTGCATCTAGAAAATAGATTTAAGTTCATTTCTCCAATTATTTATATTTACCCCATCCCAGTGAATCTCATAGTTAGCACTATCTGACTCTGTCACAATTTTTGTTTTTGTTTTGTTTTCTCCCTACAGGGTATTGGAGAAGCCAGATGGCCTCCTGTGTGCTGGGGCTTAGAGACATGCTCCACTATGCTCAGCTCAGTCATTTTTAAGTAGTACTTTTTTCCTCAAATTTTATTCATGTTAACAAATCACTGTGGTTATCTTATAAATGAGCACCTTCATTTAATAGAAGTAAAATAACTTTTAAAGTACAAAGAAAGTTTTAAAAATATACATATAAATTATGATATGCAATTAGAATATTTTATCAAAAATTTGGACTTCCTATTGGTGCAAAGAACATTGTAGGTTTTCCAGTGATTTGTTAATTTATTGCTCATAATACAACTTCTAAAAAATAAAAAAATTGTACATTAATGATTTAGAAAGAGAAAAGAGTGTTTACATGAATAAATAATTTTCACTTGCGTATTCAGAAAAGAGACAAAAATATGATAATTCCATTACTTAGTAAATTTCATGCTCTGAAGCAGTCATGCTATACTAGGACAACTGCAGGTAAGTTTTAGCTCTTACAGACCATTTCCTGCGAACTTCCCTCAGGGGAGCAAATACTGCAACAGTCACAGCCATGAACTCACACAAACACGTAAAGACTCACCTCTGGCTTGGGAACAAAAGCTTTTCCTGGAATGGTAAAGAGGTGCTCAACACTGCAGAGGTTCTGGGCCATAATGGAAAGGCGGCTGCGCTGTTTGCTTCCTGTGGTAGCTACAAGTCTCTATAGAAGGCCAAAAGTAAGCAGACAGTCAATCCCATCTGACTAGGCAGAATAGAGTCCACATCTGACTCAAGACAAATCCCATCTGACTAGGCAGAATAGAGTCCACATCTGATTCAAGACAAATTAATACGCTTCACATACACACACCACGCTATCTGACATAAACCATGTAAACAAACATCATTGGTGAGACAGGTTATAGAAATGTCAACTGTACCATGTATAAGCACTGAAAAAAACTCACGTCAACTCTATAAGTGACTGACTGAGGTTTTTTTTGTTTGTTTGTTTTTATTAATTTATAAAAATTTCCACTTCTGCCCCTCCTCCCAATACCCTCCCACTCTCCACCCCCTCCTCTTCCCGCTCCAGTCCTAAGAGCAGTCAGGGTTTCCTGCCCTGTGGGAAGTTCAAGTTCCTCCCCCCACTGACTGAGGTTTTCAAGCTACCGTTACATTCTACAACAGAAAGTCATATGTAAACAATTGTATGAAGAAATTAGCAAATAAAGAAGGACTATAAAGATGGTTTTAAAAGTGCTTCCTTAAGTATAAAAACTTTGATGATTCAAGCACCTTTGAAATACAGGCTGTTCTTGACAAACAATTTATGCAAAAATTAGGACATTTCCTTTTGACCACCCAAACACTCATTTTTTAATTGAACTTAGCAATAACAAACTTATAAATAAATGCAATTTGCATGAAAATCTCAATCATATTTTTAAAAAGAACTTCAATTTCCATATATAACATATATAAAATTAAAATTCAGATAAAAATTATATAGTATCAAGAATGGGCAAGACACTTCTGAATAATACCAACAATGCTCATGGTAGACTCACCCTACCTAATATCAAAATTAAGACAGTATTGCTACAAACAGAGACAGACCAACAGGACAAAAAGACCCAAGCACATGTGGGCCTCTGATACACAGAGATGGGATTCTCTTAACAAAAGAGAAGGACAGACCATTCATTACATGGTATGGGTGCAATTAAGCATTTACAGAGAAAAGACAAACTGCAATTGAATTAATGATAAATGAAAAACAAAATTTCAGTCTTTTGCAAGTAATATCTATGGCCCAAAGTGGAGAAGATGCAAAAGCAGAAGCTACAAAAGATAGATCTTTTTCTGTTAAAATTTTCAATCAAAACACTATCAAGACACATCGTACATTCAGAATGTGTTTAGAGGACCAAAGAATTAGTGGTCACGACATGAATGAGATCCCTACACACTAGGCATTACCAACCATAACATAAACAACCAGGAGATATAAGGCAAACTATGGCAGATCAATGAATTATAACCATTAACTAAGTTACACATATAAAAAAGCAGAGATATACAAATTAAAACCACGACAATCCATAATTTCACAAATGGAACACTATAAAAAGGTTCATCAAGGGCAGAAAGAATTAGATGCTACAAGGCTTCTATGCTTGGCAATGAGAGTGGAAAGGGCAGAAACTGGTATTTATATACCAATGTTGAACAATAATTTGTCAATAAAAGCTGAAGTTTTATAGCATATCACTTACACAAGAGAAGATATACATCCTCTGCAGCATTATGCACATTATTCAAAAAGTTGAAAATTATAATTCTACCAACAGGTAAATAGCTGTAATTTTGCCAACGGATATGAAATAACTGTTAAAATGGATAACAGGGATTACTGTTACATATAGGTTACGTCCCCCAATAGAGTATAGATTTTAAAGTGGCAAAAAACAGTGTGATATAATGCTTACATAAAAACGTTAGGATTTCTGTGTGTGCCCACATACATACCTACAATACAAACAGGAGATGTGTGGGAATGACAACTACTACTTTTCACACAGTTCGAACCCTAGGAAGGAGGGCTCCACACACACACACACACACACACACACACACACACACACACACACCATTTGATATTATGGGAAAGGCAATAAAAATTATGTTAAAATAGGGTAAGACTGAGAGTAATAGGTTTAAAGATCACTCATCTTTCTAAAATGTACCATGTTTCTGTGTTCTTGAGCTCTGAAGACATCCCCAAACTCTAGTGATCTGTTTAGGATCAAGGTCACAGACACTAGTAACGACTGGAACACCCGAAGCCAGGCACAGGGCAGGATGTCCATGCTGGGCCACCGTTGGTGCTCCCAGAGCAGGTGTTGTTGGATTTCTACTCTCTGAGGTCACTGATAGGCATCAACTAATCTAACAGCTCATTTCCACTGCCACATCTAACCTGTTCTGGGCATGAAAAAAAAATCATATAATTTGGCTTTTTAGAACTTTACCTTAAGAGTGGAATGGACTTTGGGGTGCTGGAGAGATGAGTCAGTGGTTAAGAGCACTTGCTGCACTTACAGAGGACCTGGGTTTGATTCCAGCATCCACATGAAAGCTCACAGCTATTCATAACTTCAGTATCTGGAGATCCATTGGGGGCCCTGGACACTAGGTATGAATGTGTACATACGTAAAAGCAAAACGTTCATACACGTAAAATAAAATAAATAAACTGAAATAAAACAAACAAGGTTTTGGCTGAGAAACTGAGGAATTTCCTCTGACATGTCTGGAGATCGCACAGCTTCTATGCCGACATCTCCTGTCCATCTCGTCACACCCCCACCCCACCCCCTTCCCATTTTAAGCAACTGCCTATCTGCATTGGCAAAGCAGAAATGATTAGGAAACTCAGTTCAAGACAATGAAGTGCTATAGCATGTAAGACACAGAAAATTGCTCCTCAGTATAATATAAAGGCAAGAGATGTATATATTCTCAAATAAAACCTACAGCCTTAGGCCCCCAAGTGCTTGGATTACATCATGATCCACAGCACCCAGTGATAAAAGCAGATCCTTAAAACTACAATTCAGCAAATATATAACCATGAAATTTAAAAATTAACCCAAAGAATTGACCATCACGGATTTCCTTCTTAAGGCATCACTAATACGCTACTTTACATTTGAAAGATGTGTTTCCAATGATGAATTCAAAAGAATTTAAAAATTACTTTAAAAAGCAAAAACCTGAAAAGGCTGGAATTATTCTAACTGGACTTAAAGCACAGTTAAATACATTTCACTCTGAGCATGAAGTACTTAGGACAGTTAGAAATGGGGGTGTTCTAATCTAGACTCTGGGTCTAGTGAATATCCAGAGCAAGTACACCAGGTTGTGGAGATATTTTAATTTAGAACAAAGCAGCACACAGAACTGTTAATCCATTGAGCAAAAATTCAAGTCACAGTCCAGGAAGCCTGCAAAGACTTTACATTAAAAGCTACCCTGAAAGTTACTGAGCTAATAACCATTTACATATGTATTGCCATTTTTATTTAGACACAGCACAGATAAAGCTATGAACACAAAAGTTCATCAATAGAGGAGTTTTTTTTTTTAAACAATAATAGGTCTGGACACTGAATGAGTCAAGGTTTCAGTAGAAGATAACCATTAGCCCTTGAGCTTTAAAAGTCACTAAGGACAAGAAAACAATCCATGACAGAGTTTCCAAGAAGAGTATTTCTTTTACTTTTGTCTGTTCTGTTATTTATCTAAAATAATTATAAGTAGAAAAATTACAGTTGTTGATATGGGATTTCCCTCTGTATGCTGTGATTACCATTAATGAATAAAGAAACCATGGCCTGTTGATAGGGCAGAACTTAGGTAAAGGAGGGAAACTAAATGGAATGCTGAGAGAAAGAAGGAGGAGTTAGAGAGAAGCCATGTAGCTGCCAGAGACGGACACTGGAACTTTACCGGGTAAGCCACAGCCATGTGGCGATACACAGATTAATAGAAATGGGTTAAATTAATATGTAGTAGTTAGTTAATAAGAAGCTAGAGCTAATGGGCCACGTAGTGATTTAAATAGTATAGCTTCTGTGTGATTATTTCGGTTCTGGGCAACTGGGACGAACAAGCAGCTCCCTCCAACAACTTGTATTTGTGAAGTTACAATGTTGGGCCAGGGACAATGAACGTTATGTCATTAAGAGAGTGGTGACATCTTCCCTACTAGGGATGCAGCCACAACCATCCAATTCTCCAGGAAATGTCGGACCCACTTAAAAACCCACAGGCCCAACACAACTTGAACCTCGTGACTCTACTAGGAAACAGAGGACCTGTGTTCTAGTTCAAGTGCTGCCCAATCCACGAGACAATAAAGCCAGTCAGTTTTCAGTATACAGAGAGTTCAGATGAGGTTTGTTAAGCTCTACCTACTGCGACACAGTCTTGACTCCTTTTCTGAGATGTAACACCATTTAGATGCCTTTTAATGCATCCAGAGTGAATTCTTATGTTTACATCCTATAACCCTAGAGGAGAAAATAAGAGGAGGGCACTTACGGATTCTGCTTTATAACTCACAACAAAGTCAAGGTTAAAAATGCTCTTCGTTGCTAAAATCTAGAATATTACACACAGGATTGTGATCCAGAGCAAACAGGATATGTAAGACGATGGCACTACTCAGTCTTCCCTCGCGACTCTCAGTAAAAATGTGACATCAGTCGAACGGACCAGTTACCCACACTTCTAATGCATTCCATAAATTACAGACTTGCTATGAATTCAATATTCATGTAAAAATATAACTAAAATTAACCTTTGCTGAAGAAAAATAATTGCCTATGGTGAAGTCAAAACAGCACTATCATTAAAACTCCGAGCTGCCAGCTGAGTCACTGCAAACATGACTCCACTACTCCACTCCACTCCTCCGCTCTTTCCTCAAAGAAGTGAGAGCTCAACGCTTGCCTCTCTATTGTGTTGTTCAAGAACAAAAACACCAGATAATCAGAGCAGCAGGAGGAAGCAAATCTACTGGTGTGGCACGATCAGAACTCTACCCACTAACCGTGTCCTCTGCCCTAACTGTGCCGTTCACTGCTTCACTCTCATCAGGATTTCATACTCTGTTCACTTAGCAGTAATTCAGCCTTAAACTTTCTCAAACTGGTGTAACTGTTTCTTCATCACATGCAAATATGACATGTATTTGGTCAAATTAATCTGTCTCAACTGACCTGACCCAACCTGAGGGCTCTTCCTAAGGACCCCTCCCTATCCCCCAGAGTCTGCTGCTCCTGGGACATCTCAGCATGTCCCTGACGTCTCTAATCAGAGCACAGCTTTCTGCAGAGTACTTCTGACAAGAGACTTCTAAAGAGCAGATGGTAATTAATAAACAGGGCTGGAATTTATATGCTAACAACAGTAAAATAGAGCTTGCTTTTACTATATGCGAAAATCAATCCCAAGTGAACAGAAATACCTTCACAATCAAGACATAAAATGATTTACTCAGATATGAAACAACCACAAATTAAAAATTAAGAATGTCTGATCGTCAAGAAAGGAGATCAGTGGGAAAGTGGAGAAAGAGCAGGTAATGGGGTGTGTCTGTGTGTGAGCAGAATCAAAGCACACATGTGTGTGTGAGTGTCACAGTGAAGTCCGTTATTCTGTATAATTAATACATGTCAGTAAAAAAGTTAAAGAAAAATAAAAGTCTAATTCTCAAGCCACTGTAAAAAGACAATGACGATATAAGCACAGAGAAAGGCCATCTGCAGTCCACTGCACTGGTACAGGGAACACCAGCAAACAGAAGACGATCCAACAGGAAGATCAGCAGTTCAGTGTAAAACACTCAAGTGACCCCAGCTACAATGCTGCCCATTTCATTAAAACTCAGCACAATACACCAACATCCCTAACCAACATCCTAGATTAATAAAAAATGTGTAGGTCTAATAAGACCAGGAGCTGGCAAAAATAGGGAGCGAAATGAACTCATGTACACACTGTTACATCAGGAGTATACAGGCCTGATGACTCACAAAAACGGTAAAGCATTACCTACCAAGACTGAAGCTCTTGTGTACATATCTTGTCCCAAACTGACCCTTGCGCCTAAGAACTTTCCAGGCAGTTTTGTCACAATAGTAAAGCACTGAGATGACCCCGGGGTCCCCAGCAATGAGACCGGACAGATTGAGAGAGTGAAAGCGCAGCCAATGCAGAGAGCAATATAAATAAACGATGACTATGAGCACATGTGTGACTCCTAAGATATTTACAATAAACACACATTGTATGACTCCTTTAAAATGGAGCCTAAGAGTGGACAAACCTAAAGCACACAACACACATGGGTACAAGAATTATCAAGAATATGGAAGGAAACAACTTCAAACTCAGTCCTTATTACCTTGGTAATGGGGAGATGCAGTCAGAGTGAGTTTGCAAGTGCAGATCTGCCCTTGTCCACCCTGGAGATTCACGTTGTAAATTCAGAGCACTCAGGCCATGAAAATGCAGGCTCAGCAGGCACCAACTGAGGTGTGTGTGTGTGTGTGTGTGTGTGTGTGTGTGTGTGCATGCACGCACGTGCGGTGGGGTGGGTAATCAGGTGCCAAATTTATCTAACTGTCATCCTAAGGATTACAGAGGATCAATTTTAAGATGGCACAGCCCACTCTCAACATATGAATGTAAAATCAACATCTTGCGGCTTTCATCTCTCCTGGGTTTTGTCTACAGTGCAGGCCTGTGCTGAACACACTGTTTTTGCTGGCTGTCGGGTATAACTCGAGGTCTCCACTGGGAGCATCTAGTGGTCCTGTCTGCTATCTTCACTACATGTCTTAACTTTTGGATGTGTTTTTCCACGTGTAATGGAAAAGCATTAACTTAGAAAACACAGCCAGTAAATAAATACAAAGTAGTATTTGGTTTGGAAATTTGATCATACAATGAAATATCCAGAAAAAGAGAAGACTGACCTCAGCTACCTCCTTTTGAAATGTTAACGTCATCTGGGTTCTGCCGTAGGTGAAGGGTCCGTCTCTAAGAGAGATGTTTTCAAGCCACTTGATGATCAGGGGAGTCGAGACACTGAACGGCAGATTTCCAATGATATGTACATTTGGAGGATCTGTTTGGTTGGGAGAGAAGACAATTTGGAATGAGTACATGAACATATTCTGAGTATGATCTTAATAGCTTCATTGACATTTAAGTATGATAATCAAATAAAGGCAAATGAAAAGACACAACTTGGCATTTTTCAGTTCTCTTAAAATGTATTTTTTCCACAATTAGCTTTGCATTTATAGATGAAAAAGTTCTAGAAAAGTTCATAAAATGAGGTTTTGAAGGAAAAGGCAATTTTCTTTAAATACACTGAGTTTAAAGTACCTGTGGGGTTTGCTAGACCAAGGAGGGGTACAAGCTGAGCCTAAAATTTGAATGCTTGAAATACTTAGGTGGGAAGTAAAACCAAAGGAATAGGTAACCTAGGCAAATCCTTAGCAAGAGAAGACGTCGCAAAAGAAACATCTCGGTATTGAACAAACAAGTGGGCTAGAAAACAAAAACAAATTCCAACCCTCAAACCACTGACAAACAACAGTTTCCAAAGGCCGAGGAGAACGGTGGAGCCCAACAACCATGGAAACATCAAGGTGAAATATGACACTAAATGGATGAACCAGAAACGTGGCTGTGGTCCTACTGGGGGGGGGGGGGCTCTGTGCTGAGAAGTCACTGACTAGAAATAAGAGTTACTCTGGAGGAGCCTGACCCTGGGAAGACCAGACACACAGGAGCGGCTAGATCTGCAAAAGCCCTTCCATTTATTCTCAAGAGTTTCTGCTAGCAGTCCACAGGCCCTATATCATCTGCATTTCTCAGGAGACTGCAGGTTCCTAGTAAACATCTGTCCTCGAAGGAGGAGCACCTTGGCTGGTCAGAGTCACTACTATGAAGGCAAAGGAAAAAGAGATAAAGGTCTGTGAGGGGTCTGGCTTACATTTGAAAAATAGTTACCAATACTTGGTATACTGTCATAAAAATACAAAGTTTATTTGCATAGAAACTACAACTTGAATACTTGAAACAAGGAAATTAGAATTAGGAAAAACTCAACAAGGTATGGTAGTACATGCCTGTAATGCCAGCACTTGTAGGCTAAAGCAGGAGACTTCTCAAGTTCAAGATCAGCCTGGGCTCTATATAAGGAGTGACCACCCTTGGCTAAAGCATGAGACCCTGTCTTAAAAAAAAAAAAACTAATCAGAAAAACCAACCATAGTTTGTAAGCAGGAGGGGAGTAGGGAAAAAATGCATAGCACATTCTTATCCAAATAATTAAAATGTGAAGGATTTAATAAGAAAAGAAAGAAGGAAAGCAGAGAAAATTACAATGCACATTATTTAATTCTGCTTAGGTAGTTTTCATATAAATATGTAAAAACAGCACTTTATTATGATAGGTGACAGCTGAAACAAATATCTGTGATATGACCAAAACAAAACCAAACACAGACATGTATACCCCTACCACTTCCCCCCAAACAAACGAACAAACAAACAAACAAACCCACCCAGAGGCACTTACCATCCTCCCAGGGTCTCCTAATGTGCTCTGGAAAAGCCTTTTCTACCTTGTATGTCAGCACATCTCCATGGACAATCCTCAGTTTCCCAGGTGCTGCATCAGAAAGCATCTAGTTTACAAAAGGTCAATAAAATCAGCTCATAAACTTCAGGGCAGCAAAAGCACTTAATCGCTGGGAAAAGCAAACACTAGGTGAACCAACAGGACACTGTGCCCAGCGTAACCACTGTGTTTCCGCTTATCACAACGAGGGGAAGGTATAGTGGCAGAGACTAGTGTGACAGCTTAGGATTTAAAACATAGCATACCAGTCTAACCTGACAGTCAGAATGACTTGTGTTTCTGCATGGTCAGAGTTAATATAACACACTAAGAAACCTTAGAGTGAAATACTGAGAAACAAGAACAAAGTATATGAAAATGAGTTAAGTCAACTGAGCCTGCAAAGCAAATGTACACACAAGAATCTGCATGTAAACCAAACTTTTAAAGGACTCTTTGAGTACATTCAAACTAAGTAGACAGTCCCTTGCTATGCCAGGTAGCACCTGACATTCTGAGACACTCTCTGACCACTGCATCCTTGCTTTCCCGAACGGCAGTCACTGTCACTTGAACAGTCCTGCACGCTTCCACACCAGTTACTGCTCAGCTATTTCTATTTCCAATAGTCTGTTTCCTTTTCTTCTTCAGTCTTTCTTAACACAAAAGACAACAACAAGGACTTGGGACTTAGCTCAGTGATAAAATACTTGTCAGAAATACAATTCTGTGCATTCCACTCCAGAGCCACTAAACCAAACTAAAAACAACAGAACCTTAACACTCTTAGGCCTTTCCTCCTTAACTTCAGTCCCTCACATCATATACTAAAAGCCAGCCTTTAGCTTAAACGAGCACAAGGCTGAGTCGAACTGCGTGTGAAGTCCCCCTGCATCCAATACAAAACTTACTTCTTGATATCCTCGGTCAAGTAAAAACCATGCAGTTGAAGACACCCATTGTTCCCACTGTCTCCGACTCTTTTACAGGCCTTTGGGACCCAATTCCCCATACTGGGTCTCCTTGCCCAACCTTAACACATGGGGAGGTCTGTAGTCTTCCTACAACTTGATACGCCATGTTTTGTTGATACTCATGGGAGACCTGCCCTTTCCTAAACAGAGGAGTGGATTGGGGGATGGGGGCAGAGGTGAAATTGGAGGAGGGACTAGGAGGAGTGGAGGGAGGGAAACTGTGGCTGGGTTGTAAAATAAATAAATTTATTAAAAACAAACAACCGTGCAGTCCTGAGCTTACCATGCTAAAAACACAGGACTGACAGTCAGTGAGAAGCGTCACTGCTGAGGCAGACTTCGTGAAAAGGGTGACCCCCTCACCACACTGCACACTGTCTCAGTTCACTGCTCGGGGTATCCAGGCTCCAACTCAGTTGCTGAAATTTGAGAAATGGCATAGGGCTTTGTAGGGATGACCAACGAGTTCATGGAGAATTCTGCCTCTTGACTCTTCTTCCCTCATGTCCTTAAATCTTCCCTCCCTCACCCCCAACACTTTCCTTCTGTCCATTTCAAACAACTGCTAGGAAGGTTGAAAGGGGCCTCATGGAAGCCAGAGGGAGACTCTTTCCCCTCGGCTTTATCCTGTGTCAGAGAGGAGACCTGAGCCAGGATATAACACATTGCTTCCATGTCTGCTCACACTGTGCCACACCCACAATTCTTGACAGCACTTGTAACATGCTACGGCAGCCGCACACGTGTAGGTCTCTCTCTTTAACAAGTGTGCTGCTTAAGGGAAGATCTATTTCTTGCCTACTTGATAGAGTTCACAGCGACAGCACTGCATAGCAGGTGCAAACACGCCTTTAATAAGCAAAAGAGCGCACACTACTGCACAGCATCCACGAAGCTGGAGCGACTGCAGACACGGCTCTCAAAATCTGTGGGGCAGAGGAATCTGCAGAGATTTACGTTATCAATAAGTGAGGCAAGATTCTACAACAGTGTGAAGTGCAGAGGTGGAATGCCTGTTTTAGTAAGAGGGGGCATTTTAAATTTAGGATAGTTAATTTGACATGATTATTTATCAAAAGTAATTGCATACCTCTGACATTAATACACTCAGAGATTATCTTAAGCCACCATGGTTTGATAAAATTTAGCTCATCAGTTTCACATAATATGTTGTAGAAAACAGTTATTTTAAGACACTAAAAACTGAGAGTTGTTATGGGATATTTGATAACTGTATAAACATAGTAAATTTAATGCTAACATTTACCAATAATAGAGAAGGCTAAGTTTTTTTTCTGCAATTATGCTTCACATAATTAAAACAAAACAAATTAGCATATCAAAAAAGAAAGAGGCAGAACTGAAAGCTTCTGTTACACAACGTCAACATATAATATAAAAAGTAATTAAGTAATTAGTAATTACAACTAAAGCAAAACAATGTAAACCTGCCTCTTTGGTATTAATTAAAACGCTCTGATAACTGTTTGAAATGTCATCTTTCCACGCTCTCACACACACAACTACACACTAAGAGCCGACAGCAATCTACTTTCCTACTACAAAGCTGCATTTCTAGTCTGTTTCTTCTGGACTCCCCTTCAGGTTTAACGCCCAGCCAACACACCCCAAATCCGTCTGTTTCCTCCTTGACAACTGTGCAGCTTCAGTTTTGCTCGTCCAACTCCTCATGGCAGAGGAAATGAGCTGGAAGGAGCTCAAGTATGGGGTGTCTGTGGGGTGCCAAACCAACTGAACTGCCATGATGATTATAGAAAACGCCTCCTAAACACCTAAAATGGTGCTCAAGCAGCAGCACACAGCCTCCCCACCCCACTAGAGAAAATGGAAAAATGTTTTCATCAGATCATGCTATTGTGGGGTGAGAGAAATCACTCTTACATTTCTAGAACATCCCAAGCATACACCCCAAAACCTGCAGAGGGGTTCAGAGCACAACCCACTGCTAACAGGTGGGCATCTGCACAGCCACTCACAAGCTAGTCTATTATTTTAATGTCAGTTTGCAATATATTCTTCCAAAGCGCAATGTGAAATTGCTCCGAGTAAAATATGTTCACTAAGTAGAAAATCCAATCATAAGTAGAAGCACACATGTAAAAGTGACTGCCACTGACACCATCAGAAGAACCGCGAGCTCCTGGCTTGCACAATGGCGCGTATACAATTCTTACCCTGTGTTAGAAGTAACTATACCAAGTCCCCAAGAGAGAAATGGTTCTTCCCATGTAGATTCTGTAAAGGGTACATGAACAATGAAATGGCTGTGCCTTTAATGAAGGTCAGATAGCACAAGCAGAAGCGTTTTCCCTCCAATAGCCAGAGCTCGTGTGAAGCCTCTGCAGGGGTGCAACCGTGCTTGACCCAGGTGGCTTTTTGGCAACTTAATTTGATGAGAAAAGAACTCATGCAACTCTTGGAACTTAGGCAAAAATCAAAATTTCCTTGAGAACAAAAAGAACTATATCAAATAGCTATTTGGTATGTTTCCTGCCACCTTCACACAGTAAGGGGCTTAGAGCAGTCAACACTGTATGAGCTAAGCATGATTCCCTTCTTCCCAATACTGCTGAAACAAATACTAGCAGAAGAGCTAGGCAAGCCTCTACAGCAAACACTAGAATGACTGGGATTCCTCTCTGTGTGCTGTGAATGTGTTTTGTTACCAATGGTTCATAAAGAAGCTGCTTTGGGCCTATGGCAGTGCAGGATAGACAAGGCAGACATTCCAAGCAAAGCTAAAGGTAAAAGGAAGGCAGAGTTAGGGAGACTCATGTAGCTCCCTCCCTAAGGAGACAGATACCGGATCCTTACCAGTAAGTCACAGCCTCTTGCCGATACATACATTAGTAGAAATGGGTTAATTCAAGATGTAAAAGCTAGCTGGAAATATGTCTGAATCGTTGGTCGAACAGTGTTGCAATTAATATAGTTTCTGTGTGATTATTTTGGGTCTGGGAGGCTGGAAAACGAATGAACAGCCTCCTACTACACTAGAAGAATCATATAAAATGGAAGATGATAAATAGAAAGTTAGAAAGTTAAAAATATGTATTGTTGGGCTAGAAAGATGGCTCAGAGGTTAAGAGCATTGCCTGCTCTTCCAAAGGACCTGAGTTCAATTCCTGGCAACCACAAGGTGGCTCACAACCATCTGTAATGAGGTCTGGTGCTCTCTTCTGGCCTGCAGGCATACACGCAGACAGAATATTGTATACATAATAAATAAATATTTTTTAAAAATGTATTGTTGTGAAGAATGTCAAAATAGATGAAGTCCACTATTATAAAGCAACTGAAGTGGATGCTACAATACTTGCTTTTTAAAGGAGAATATGGCTTCAAAGTTGGTGCTTGCTTCTCAAGCAGGGCAGAAGAAACCGTAGTAGAAACTTGTTTGCCCAGCCCCATCATGGACTCAAAGATTCATGTGACTAAGTAAATTTCTTTGGCAGTGTTGAACCCTCATGTGTCAGCAGGTAAAACGTAAGTATGGTGTGGAAGGGAAAGGCGAAGCTGGAGAAGTTTCAGCAGGAAACTGGGGTCAAAGGCTAGCACATCTCACGTCTGCAAGCTAGCCTTGGTCATTTCTCAAACCCAGGAGCTTTCTGCCATGCCTATCACAAAAAGCCCGAGACAAGAGTCAATGATTTCCTTTGTGGCTCTAAAATTCCAGTAAGCAAGCACGTAACAAATCGGTTGAGAAGAACCTTTGAGCTTCCTACCCTAAAATGGGTTATGAGATGTAACATGAGGGGGCCTGTTTGTTGGGGGTTTTTCTGTCCCGCCTGGCCCCCCAGCTGCTTAGTTCCAGAGAAAAATCACACTGAAATCTCTGTCAGTAATAAAGCTGACTGGCCCATTAGATCTAGCCTCTTACTGGCTAACTCTTACATCTTGATTAACCCATTTTTCTGATCTATGTTAGCCATCTGGCTCAGTACCTTTTTCAGTGGGGCAGCTCACATCCTGCTGCTTCGGTGATCTGGGCAGGAGTGGGAGGAATCAACTTCCTCCTCCCAGAATTCTCCTGCTCTCCTTGTATTATTTCCACTTCCTGCCTGGTTTTCCC